CCCCCCCCCCCCAACCCGCCGCCGGACTGGAGCTGGGGCTTAAATTATCCTCTGCGAAAATCCCAGACCGTGGCTAAATTTCTGCCATCCCAATCGCCCTGCCAGAGGATGCAGCTGCTTCTCCTGCAGCTGGGGTAGTAAAAATGTTGACTACTAACAAGCAGCAGGAAACCTTCATTTCAAATGCAGTTATTAAAGCAGGGGTTTATGCTCTCATGCTTTAATGAGGTGCACACTCCTGGCTGCCGGCTGCAATATTATTGTTGTTGCTTTATTAGTGGGCTTTGTTTTGGATTTGGAATTTGGATTTGGATTTTGAAAAAGAGCGTCTAGACAACAGTTATGTCTGTGACAAGAGGATGACAGACTTGGAAACGTACTAGGAAAGGAGATGAACCTAAAGGGGGAAAAATGAATTTTTTCCTGAAGCTGTTACTGTTGGTAGGATTAAAGCGTGGCCATGGCAGGTAGCTGGTGGAATGAATAGGCTGCCAAAGGGAGACGGCTTCAGGGCTGGGTGTCTGCCCGGACCAGTGACACACCAGCCCTGGCTTCAGTCCGCACGCTCGGGTGGGTGGAGATGAGGGCGGGAGTGAGGGTGGAAGTAAACACCGCGCGATTCACTCGTTTTCAGAACCTTCAAGCCGCCTAGTAATGCTGATGGTCCACTAAGTAATCCCCAGTAGCTTCTCCATTCTTGCAAGGGGAAAGGTTGGAAGAATGAAGTTTTCCTTCAAACCTTTTCACTGCTTCACTGTCACAATCCCACTTGGATGCGTAGACACACATGTCTTGCTCAAGTTTGAAAAGGTAGATTCATGCTGCAGGTACGTTTCCCGGAGAGTGAGTTCAACAAGGAAATGTGGTTGGGAAACAGGTGCTTGACTAGGAAGGATGTGGGAATTAGGAAAAACGTAAGGAAGGATGGAAGCGCATAAAGACTAATTCTAATTCATGGGGTGGGTGTATGGAGGGAGGACACTCAGGTTAACAACTCCAGCCCCTGACGGTCCCGAGCTGCAGAGGGTGTTCTGAACCGAAATCAGAAGTGCCCGCCCTCTTCCTTGTGATTGGTCACTTCCTGCCCTGCTCAGGGAAATTCTCTTCACAGTATTGGTTGTTGTGACAGACTTTCAAGAACAGTCAGCAAACCAACTACGACTGGGCCTCGGGGATTTCGGGAAATGTAGTTCTCTGTGGAGTTTCCGCATTCAAGGATGATGTTTTGCTCTTGGAACCTATAAAGTTGTCTTGTGGTTTAATATTTATTGAATTACTCAGTTAATTCACTAGGTGTAATGAACAATGAAACAAATTTGAAGATTTTTCTCAGGCTATTTTCAAGTGGCTCTGAAATGTTTGTTTACTGATTTAGTTCTCTGAAATGCATTTTATTGAGTGTAAGACATTGTGTTAGATACTGAAGACACAAAAATGCAATTCTTGCTTTAAGCAAGGTCCCCTGTCAAAAGAGGGCAAACCTCACGTAAATAAGTAATTGTGAAACAATATGATGAGTTCATTGATGGAATCACGCAAGTGGAGAAGTGAAGAGGACCTGAAATGGTAAATTGACCATAGTTGAGTCCAGGTGAATAGGTGCTGACCAGGTGAAGAAGAAGGCGAGGAACATTGGAAGGCAGCTGGGGAGGTGATCAGAATTACGCGGAGAGCTTTTTAAAAATACAAATACCTCCAGAGGGGTGAATTGCAAAACAGAGAGATTACTTCCCCACAGAATTTTCATCTAGTTTGAAAAGAAATCTGTTGGATGATTTGTCATCATTGGACTATGAAACTTGGGAAAAGGGACAATTTCTTCCTGATAGGCCTTGTGATATAGTGGAAAAATCCTAGGCTTTGTTGTCTGCCAGACATAGATTTCAATCTAGACCTTGGTAATACGTGCAACCTTGGGCAAATTCCTTACTTTGCCTAGGGGTCAGATTCCTCATGTGTAAAATGAAATTAAAGCTACCTTCTTCCTAGGGTTTTGTAAAGATAAACTGGAAACAAAAATGTAAAGTGTGCATTATATTAGTAATACATAGTAGAATGGAAAAACTACTATCAGGGTCCTTGAGGTGAAAGGGACTTCAACAGATCACCAATTTAAGCCAGTCCCCCAGTTTTTACTTTCAAGGGACATATGCAGAATTCTGTTAGGCAAAAAACAACAATGCCCTCCAAATATCTACCTTTATGATGGCAAGGATAAAATAATGGAGACTCAAACTCATGATATTTCTTGTGTCTGTTTCAATTGATCAATTGATTTTTAAATTAAAATAAAAATTTTAATTTTAAATGAAAATTAATTAGAAATTTAAAGTTTAGACTAAAATGATTAAAAATTCAATAATTTGTTATTCATTTTAAATTTAGCACATAACTAAAAGTTTCAAGAGATTATTAATTTTAATAATCTCTTAACAAAATTTTATTTATTTATTTTTGTTTTGTTTTAATGAATGAATCAGTGTGTTGATTCCAAACAATTTAGTAGCTTTCTGCCTTTGGCCAAGTAACATTCTCCCAAGTGGAATTCCTTGTTACCTACTTATTGAAGAATGGACCAGGAGATGATAGCATAATAGTACATACCACTGACAAATTATAAATAGCGATATTACATTTAGTTAAGCCAGGACAGCTGTAGATAATACTCAGTTAATACAAGGAAAAGTAAAAGGCAAAAAACAAAAACAGAAACAAATAAACCCAAAAAGAAAGGCAGCTCATTAAATTATTTGGTATGAAAGTCCCAAGACCAAGAATTCATAGCGTTCCTGAATCTGCCAGTCTTCATTATCCTGTTTAAATACTACCAGGCTATCAAAGACTCTGTTATTGGTCTCACAGGGGCAGCTGGATGCTGATTGAGAGGAATACAGTAGAAACTGAAAATAAGTATTTTAAGGAGAAATTACGTTATTGGCAGAAACTTTCTGAAGGTAGACCAAATCTTTCTCACCTGCTAGCATCCATTTATATAATTTTCATTTATTGAGTCCTAAAGGATGTATTTATGATAATAATTGATTCACTACACCATTTAACAGAATATTGAATTTAAATTATCCGTAAATTGTGGTAGAGATGTTAACTAGTTAGTTTGCCTAGTTCTTGCCATCTTTTCTGAATGAGTTCCCGAGGCCTTGCTGAAATGCTGGACCTGGCAACCGTATTTTGATCCTGTGACCATGAGTCTTGGTCTAAACTGACTGGATCAAGGGCAGACACCTGAAGTAAACCAAGCCAAGAGATCATCTTCTGGGAATCT